ATATATATATATATATATTTTTTTTAAAGTGTGAATGACCAACAACTCGGAAGGAGAAGGTATGGGAGGGGATTACATCAGATAATCATTTCATGCCTCTGAAATTATTCCCCTATGCGATGAGTGGCATTCAGAGTTACTTGCCGTTTCTTATAGCTCCCGCTCACGGATACCAAAACAAGATACCTAGATTTTATACAGACCTGAGTTCTACTACTGCAAGACATCTCGTCTTCCCTTTTGTGATGAGGAGTGTGCACGTGCCCTCTTTCTCTCTCCTCGCTCTTTCTCTCCCTCTCTCACACACACAAGGGCCATCTCTCTCTCTAGTTTCTGCCTTGAGGTGGCACATTCCAGATGCTACTTGTCAAAGCATGGCACACTTCGCTCATGTGAAGTCAAACTGAGACCCTCTCCCCCCTTTCCCACTGCCCCCACAGTGACAACGCCATGTTGCCACTGACACACAACGAATGTACGTGCCCACGCACACAGGCAGCACCGGGAGTGAACGCAGTGAAGTGAAAACCTTGCTAATAAGTTACTTAGCCTTCTTATTTTATATTATTTTATTTTGTGTATGCTTGTTGGTTTATTTAAGATCACGTCTTGCCACTGTGTTATGCTGACAGTCCATCGTGGGAGCGTGGGTTTTGGAAGGAGCATGCCCATTCTTTCAGTGCTTTTATGTTTCTTGATACAGGAAAAAAAAAAAAAAAGAAAAACATGCATGGCCCACGCTTTTCAATTTGAGCTGAGATGCAGACTTGGTGAGAAAATATAAGCCTAAAAAAACAAACAGGAAAAAAGTATTCAGAATATTTGGTCCATCATAACCTGCCTTGACCAGGTTATAATGGTACCATTTGTATCCAGAAATGCAGTCAGTCTTTCATTTCGTCTTGAATTCATACGCACGTATGATACTTTTACACTGTTCTTAGCTCAATGAGCATGTTTAGACCTTAACATAAGCTATTTTTCTAAATATAAAGGTTTAAATGAACAAGAGAGCATTCTCATTGGAACTTTAGCATTGTAGTGCTTTGGAAATAAAACAAAACAACAAAAAAAGGACTCTTAAAAAAAAAAAAAACAACCCTGAGATTTATTAAAGAAAAATTGTATTTTATGTTATATATAAATATATTATTACTTGTAAATATAAAGACGTTTTATAAGCATCATTATTTATGTATTGTGCAATGTGTATAAACGAGAAAAAATAAGAAAGATGCACTTTGCTTTAATATAAATGCAAATAACAAATGCCAAATTAAAAAAACAAACAAACAAACATGAGATTGGTGTTTTTTTCTATGGGTGTTATCATCCAGATGAATGTTTTTTCTAAAGGAGTTTATGTTCCATTAAAAAATAAAAATGTACACTTGATCTGATCCTGTGCAGAGTGACTTTGTTAGTGCCTGGGCCTGGGTAGATGCAACTAAAGTAGCTTTAAACATCCAGCTCTGAGGTCCAGGACCCGTTCCTTTCCAGCACACGTTGCCACGTATCTGGGGTTGAGGGAGGCATGAGCAGTCCCAAGGGATGCTCTTATAGACTGGGCTTCTGCTTCTTCGGTTTCAGGAGATACAGGCTTGCTCAGCTGCAAACTTCTGGGATACTGGGCAAGTCACTTAACCTGCCTCCTCACAATTGCCAGCCGTATTCTGGACCTGTATTGACCTTGATCTCCATTGCTGTTGGGTATTGTTTCTATCTTACCTCCTACCTAAATCTATGGGTGGGAACAGGCCTTCAGCCACTGTGGGAGTCACATAGCTAGACTCAGATTCCCCCTTCCCTG